CCATAACCACACCCACAGCCACAATTCTGGCCACATCTGAGGTGCCATCTGCTGTTGCCGGGCGGAGTCTGTATCACTCCCATCTCTGACTCCATGCTCCTCTGGGCTATACTCACTTCTATCTATCTATTTACCCCCCTCTCTCTCTCTCTCTATCTATCGATCTATCTATCCATTTATTTTTTCATTTACTAGAGGGTGCACATGCTTGCTGGAGACAGAAAGTGAGAAAGGACTCACCCATGGGGAATGGTCACACTGCAAGCTCTCAGGTTTGAGGGCATGCACACACATGTGCCCAGTGTGTTTTTAAGCCACTGGGTCTGGGACTCAAACCATGCAGCCAGCCATGAGGGATCCAGCTGCCTTAACCACAATGCCGCTGGCCGGCCCCGCAGTCACCCATTCTAATGGCATCCTAGCCCCAGCTTCCTCCCAGGTTTCCTCTGGGCTCCCCTTCCTGGCCCAGCATCCACAAGCCCCAAACAGTGCCTGGCAGTTGATAGGTGCCTGATGAACACGGCGGCTGACGATGCCGCGTGCCGAGCAGCCTGTCTGCGCTGCTCCTTCAGACTCGGCCTAAGGGATCTGTCGGTATCGACAGCTGGGATACAATTCCGAGCCCTGCCATGCCTCTGAACACGCCCTAGGCCCCTGACTCTGGTTTGGAGGGATGGATGGCCATCTTCTCCTAAGAGAGGTCAAAGACAGTCTACAGCTAGGTGCTGTTTTTTGTTTTTTGGGGACTTTCTTTTGTAATTTTTTCCCACAGGACATGTGGACTTGCTGGAGAGAGACAGAGAGAGGGAAAAAGAGGGAAATCAGCCCACGAGGGGGATGGCCATGCCCCCGTCCCTTCTCCTCCATTCTCCTCTCAGGTTTCTGGGTACGCACACACATGCACCCAACATGATTTTCAAACCACTGGGTCCAGGACTCGAACTGCTTAGTCAGCCATGTGGGATGCAGCTGCTTTAACTTCCACACCATCTGCTATTGCCTGGCACATTTTAAAGAACTGTTATTCCCCAGTAGCAGGAGGAATACAGAGGGACACGAGCCAGAAGCATGCTTCCTGCTCCTCCTTTCTGTCTCTGAAGTCCGGTTCTTGGACACCGCGAGATACTTGACATTGGACCACATTTTCAATGCCCAAACGCACTTTCACAGGGGGATTAAATCCAGATGAGGCTTTTGCTCGGCCTCCTCAAAGACTCTCACCGGCCCTGACAAATTCTTTCGATGCCAGCTGTAGGACCCACTTTCTGATTAGAGTCCCATCTCGGCAAACAATCGCATCTGCTAGTGACATTTTCCGCCTCGGTCTGTCTTAGCTGGTTAAGAAGCTGCTACAGCATAATCAATGTCAAGGTTTTTGAACAAATAGCCATAAATATTTAAGCCTTTGCTTTGCCTATTAAAGAAAATGCCATCTAAGATAATTATTTTGCCTCTGCCTGACAGGAAGATTTACACAGAGAAAGGGATTATTTTAACCTTGGAGCAAATTCAGAAACCGTGAAGCCACTTAGCCTTTCTCTAGTCCGTAAGGAGATGTATGGCCAGGCATGTCAAGTTCCCGGATGTTTGTGAGGGAGAATGCCAGCAAAAGGTGGAAGGACCTGCGATGATTACTGCCTGATTTCCCAAAGCAGCTTGGCTTATTTTGTCAACCGGAGTCAGCTGGAATCTAAGCCCCGACTTTGGTGCCTGCCTGTTTGTGTGACTGTCACCTCTCATAGACTGTAAGCATCTGAGGGCAGGGCCCCTGTCCAATGGCCTTCTGTATCCCCGGGGCATCCGGCTCAGCACAGCAAGCCCACACAAGCTGCCTGGAGTCGTGATTCACTCAGCGTTTGGGCGTTTTAGTGTTCTGAGTGGCACAAAGGTGTGGATAGGGCCCGAGTTTGGGCTTGAAGCCCCATTCAGGCTTTGTCTAAGTGGGTTTTTTTTTTTAGTTTTTGCCATAGGACAAATGCGCTCTCTAGAGAGAGACAAAGAGAGAAGTGAAAAATCACCCCTCAGGTGGGGTAGACACACTACAATACCTTCTATTCCATTCTCCTCTTGAGATTTTGGGTATGCATGCACACACACCTGGCGTGACTTTCAAGTGGATTCACGTGGGATTCAGCAGTTTTACTCTGCACCCTGCCTGCTGGCCCCTGGCATTTCTAGTAATGCAGTCTTCAATGGGTTATTTACCACCTGTCACCTCATCTGAAACGTGGGCCTGTGGTTCCTCCCTTCCAGAGCTTGAGAGGAGGAGTAAATGAGAGCGTCTACACAGTGCCTGGCACACAAGTGACAAAAATGGAGCCATGCCCTCTGTCGTTCCTTGCAGGAGCTACAAGGAGACAAAGGTAGACTTCAGAAGCCAGGGCTCTTAGACTGTGAAGAGGCCCAAAGGTACCATGAGACGTGAGAAGTCTGCTTAGGTGGACCCGCTGGAGGAAGGCGGGGAGGTCACCAATACAGAAGGCCAAGGTAATGAGGGGAGGTCATCAATACAGAAGGCCAAGGTAATGAGTATGACAGGCTGGAAAACGTCCCCTCTGGGCTACAGATGTCCACCTCCTACGCCCTGGAACCTTTCACTATTGGGCTGTCGGAAAAGTCCTGGTGCATTTTTGCAAGGAAAACCAGAACAAGACATCGTGACTTTTCTGACAACCCAATATATTACCTTGTGTGGAAAAAAGGGACTTTGCAGACGTGAGAAAGTTAAGGATCTGGACACGGGGACATACCCTGATTACCTGGGCGGGCCAAAGTGTTCACAAGATCTCCCAGCGGGAGAAAAGGAAGGCTGAAGGGTCAGAGCTGGAAAGGCAGGGAGGGGCTGGAAGGGGCTGCCCTGCTCAGAAGATGGGCTGAAGTATACAGGCGGCCTCTGGAGAGGGCAAAAAAAAAGGCCTCTTTGGAAGCTTCCAGAAGGAACCAGCCCATCAATAATCTGACTTAAACTCAGTGAGACTGATTTTTTTGTAATTCTGACCTCAAGTACTATAAGGTAATACGTTTGTGTTATCTAAGAAAAAATATTAATTGCTTGATTTCATGAGAGAAAGACAGACAGACATGCATGAGCGTGCGCGCGCACACACACGCACGCACGCACACAGACCCAAGTATACTCGACAAAGTCCTTATGCCATGAATCTCCCGAGTCTTCCAGCCAGTCAGGGTCTTGGGTGCACCTGACACACACGCACGCACACAGACCCAAGTATACTCCACAAAGTCCTTATGCCATGAATCTCCCGAGCCTTCCAGCCAGTCAGGGTCTTGGGTGCACCTGTGGGCACACTTAGCATATGGAGGCAGGCCAGGGAGGCAAACCTGGATCCTTCCCACCTGGTCTCCGGTAGGGCCAGATCCGTATTTTAAGCTGCTAGGTTTGCGGCGGTTACAGCTGCAGTAGGAAACTCATACGAACACAAGAAGAAAGACACTCAAATGCACAAACCTCGGTTACATGGGAAGTTTCATCCCTGTGGGACACCGTCACCCCTGAGGTGCTGCTAAACCCAGGAAGCTATTTATCTGATGGGCAGAGACCTGGCCTTCATGGAGACGAGGTTCAAAGGTGCCTTTGCTCCTAAGATGCTGCCATTGCGGCCATCAAGCTCTTACAGCAGCCCGGTGTGTTGTTAAATGGGGCGTGCACAGCTCCTAATCACAGCCTACTTAATACCTGTCAGTCAGAGCCTGCTCCAGAACATGTACTGCACCGAGGGGCTGCCTTGCCTAGGATGCCTTCTCTGCCTGCTCCGTCTTCCAGAAATACCACTATAAAAGTGCACGTTATACCTGGAGGTACTTACCAATGAGTGAGTTATTTGGGGGGTAAGTTATGTAGCAAGATAACATGCCATCTCTGGCCACATATTTCAGGATTTAAATTTCTACATGAAGTCTGTGTTTCCATGTCTATGTGAAGTCTGCCATCTACGACTATAACCATCAAAAAAGCCCTTGACAAAGAAATAAAAACCATTTTCCCTTTTGGAATAATGACTAGCACCGAGGGTCTCCTGGGTGCAAAATATTGGGTTAGGCACGCGAGTTCTCACAGCACTGCCACAATTCTGTTATCTCTAACGGCCACTGAAGACACGGGGGTTCAGAGAAGCTAAGCAACTCTCCCGAGGTCTCACAGCTTGCAAGCAGTAGTGTCAGGACCTAAACCCACGTTGGTCTGACTTCTGAGCTCGTGTCTTTTTACACCACCCCTGCTGCATCTGAGATGGGTGTGGGCAATCAGGGGAATACACGCGGGATCAGCCGCCAACAGCCACGATGATGCTCTCTGAAGAGCTCAGGCTGGCCCAGCTCTGAATCTGCTGCTTTGCACCACAGTGAAGCTCAGCTGAAAAAAGACATGCATCTACAGGGCTGTGTGTTGATAGGAAGTTGGCTACACTGTGACCCAGAGTGACAACACATTCTAATAGCAGGCATGTAGGATGCTTCATAAATGAGGCAGGAAATCCCTCAGGATGAGTCATAGCAGATATAGCAGTGCATACGGCCATGCTGGAGAGACACACATCTTGGAACCTCTTTGACACATTCTTCCTAGACATCACGAACAACACGCAACCCGGAGCAGGGACCACTCTGACACTGCTGAAAAGCCCACTGCTGCAAGCACCTTCTAACCCAGCTTTTCCAGGCAGACTGTTTTTACAAGCAACTCCTTTTATCCAACAGTGTTTCTTAAGTTACTCTGACAAGGACCACGTAAGAAATACATTCGACCATGTAACCAGTTTGCATGTACACATAATAAAAACAAAACGTTCCATGAAAGAAGACATAGCCTTGCCATGAGCTGCAATAAGCTCTCCTCTTTCCTCTTTCTATTTTTGTCTGCCTTCTCCAGTTTAGTCTCTCGGGGGGCCATGACCCACATGCTGACTTACTGATTCATTAATGACCTTGTGTCCTGTGCAGGGCTGTCTCCGGGCTGGAAACGGGGAGCACCGGGTCCTTACCTCCGGGGCGATGTAGTCTGGAGTCCCACAGAAGGTCCTGGTTGTGACTCCGTCCATCATGTGCTCCTTGCACATCCCGAAGTCAGCAATTTTGATGTGTCCTTCTGAATCCAGCATGACATTATCTAACTTCAGATCCCTGCGAGGAAGCAGGTTGGCATGAGAGCCCTTCCCGCCACAGACCCTGGTCTGCTCCAGAGACAACAGCACAGGACACTGGACCAGCTGCCATATCGGGAGGGTTACGGTAGGTCTCCGGGGAGCAGGGACTGGGGAACTTGTGTTTTTGATCTCCAGAGCCTAACACAGTGCCTGGGGTAGGGTAGGTACTTTAATGCACTTGAATGAATGACTGAATGACTGAACCAGTGATTCCCACTCTTGGCTGTGCTTGTAAATTCAGAGATTCCGATCTAGCAGGTCTGGGCGACCCCCGTCATTTGATTTGTTAATATACAGCACTGGGCAGGGTGGGAGGGATAGGTGCTGATACACAGATGCAGCATCATGAGTCTAAAACCTCCTCACTGGGTCACATAAATGTCCCTGTGATTCTGCCTTGTGCTCTGTACCCTTTTCATTGGTCTTCAGTTAATACTATGGGGTCATTGGAAAAGTCATGATGCATTTTTGCATAGAAAAATATGTCATGACTTTTCTGATGACCCAAGAGTAGAGATTCCCCTTCCCGTGGCACCAGTCATTCACGGTAGCTAACACCTGGAAGAACTTAACTGCACGTTCCCCCTTGCCTCTCCCCAGCCCCCCATGTTCTTCTCCTGCCGAGCAGAAATTCAGTTTCCATTGCTCCCTGACCTCAGTATGAAATGAAAGACAAAGGGAGGAGCTGTCAGTGGAGAAAAAAGCATGCTTTCTTCTGAGAAGGAGGAATGAGACATAAACTTTTACGCTCTAGACATCAGGAGGTGGCTTTTGTTTGCCTTGCGGTTGCAAAGAAAGATGGGGCCCAGCACGTCCCTGTTACTGGGGCACCATAAGCTCCACGCCTTAAGTCCCCCTCACAGATTTACACGCCCACGGATGTCCAGCACGCCTCCCCACTGTGCTGGGCTGGAAGAGAACGCCAATACACACCTATAAATGATTCCTCTTTTATGAAGAAAGAACAAGCCGATGGAAATCTCTGCTGCATAGAATCTGCAAAAGAAAATGTGCTTCAGGTTTCTGGTTTGCTTCTTTTGACTCCTGGATACTTTTTATTTTATTTATTTTTTAGAGATTTTTGCCCATAGGGTACATGTGCTCACCTGAGAGAGACAGACAGAAACGGTGAGAGGGAAAGTGAGAAATCACCCCCCGCCCCCCGGGAGGGGATGGTCATGCCACAGTCCCTTCTTTATTCTCCTCTGGGATCTTACACACACACAAACACACATGCACACACACGTGCACACGCCCAGAGTGATTTTCAACCCATTGGGTCTGGGACTTGAACCATAGTCGGCCATGTAGGAGTCCAGTGCCTTATAACCACTACGCCATGTGCTGGCCCCAACTCCTAGATACTTTTTAACCTCAAGCTCAAGTAACAAAGAAATACAAGAATGGAAGGCGTTCAGACTTTCAGAGAGCATAACTTCCCTGCACATGTTTTTTCAAACCTGACCCTTCCCTCCACCATTTTATTTCCCAACTTACCCCAGAGTGACATAGCTAATAAAGTCAATGAGAACAGGTTTAACTTTCTTGTCTGGGGAAGGCAGGCAGGTAATTCACTGCCTACAAAGTAATTTGCTTAAAGAGCAAATACCCGTTAGACTTTTCTGTGTTAGGAGTATGCTAGCGTGGAGAAAATTTCCATTTTCATATTCATGGACAAAATTGCTGTTTAAAAATACAATGACTCCCTGGAACACAGTATAGTGTGTGATGAACTCTTTAGCTAGTTTATTCATTCCCCCAAGTGCTGGAATAAATGGGACATGCACGGTGATTCATACTTGAGGTTAGCCTTTTAAATAATTCATAATAAAAAAGCAGTTACTACCATCGTTTAAAAATCATTAATAGGTTAATATCTGAAACTCAGATTAAATGCAGAAGGATGTTTTAAAATGTGCATAGCATTTAGGAATCTTTTAAGTCTGAGAAGCCACACGACTGTTCTTGTGCAAATATCACACCCAAGAGGCTTTAAATAAGCACACATGCCTACATTAACAGACAAAAGAAATCCCTAATGATAAGGACCAAACTCTTTATTTCTTTATTCTTTTTTGGAGAGGTTTTTGCCATAGGACGCATCCACTCACCAGAAAGACAGAGAGAGACAGAGAGACAGAAAGCGAGAAATCATCCTCTGGGGGGATGGCCATGCCACAATCCCTTCTCTATTCTCCTCTCGGGATCTTGGGCACGCATGCACACACGCCCGGCCTGAGTTTAAGCCACCAGGTCTGGGACTCGAACCGCAGTTGACTACATGGGAGTCCAGCGACAAAGCCACTATGGCAACTGCTGGATAAGGACCAAATTCTTAACGGGAGGCCACATCTGAAAGCTGGCAAGAGAGGCTGGGCAGAAAGAAAGAAGAGCCTGTGGGATTACAGGTGATTTTACATTATCTTCTGTGCTTTCCAGGAGACAGCACAAGCTCCCAAGGGTGGGGCACCTCATTCCTTCAGCACTCTGGGCTCCCAGTGCATGGTGCGTGTGCAAGAACTGTGTACTCAGTGAATGAGTGGATGACTCTGCCTGTGAGGATGGGACTGGGTGACAAAAGGACATGGCAGCATCTCCAATTTACTGGAAACAGAATAAACGGCTCTCCAGGAAACAAAGCTGCCTCCTTGGGAGGTTATGGTCTTCACCTCCACTAGGGTGGAGTCTCACTGTGACACTTCACCTATAAGTTCTCAGCTGGGCATCCCAGCTCACTTAAATGAAAGGATTTTAAATAGGAATTCACCATTAACAAAAATCAACTCAAAGTGGATCAAAGACCTAAACCTAAGACCGCAAACTATAAAACTACTGATGGAAAACACTGGGGAAACTCTGGGAGACATAGGGGTAGGCAAAGACTTCTTAAGCAAGACCCCCAAAGCACAGGCAATAATCCCCAAAATAGACAGGTGGGATTACATCAGATTAAGGAGTTTCTGCACAGCAAAGAACACCATAATTAGTGTGAATCGACAACCCTTGGAATGGGAGAGAATTTTTGGTAACTCTGCCTCAGACAAGGGACTGATAACTAGAATAGACAAGGAACTCAAGCAGCTTACCCAGAAGAAAATGATTAACCCAATTAAAAGATGGGAAAATGAGCTGAATAAACAACTCTCTAAGGAAGATATACAAACAGCCAAAAAGCATGTGAAAAAATGCTCAACATCCCTTATTATAAGGGAGATGCAGATCAAAACCACAATGAGATACCACCTAACCCCAGTCAGACTGGTGAAGATTAAAAAAATAATAATTATAAGTGCTGGAGGGAATGTGGTGAAAGGGGAACACTCCTACTCTGTTGGTGGGAATATGAATTGGTCCAGCCACTGTGCAGAGCGATATGGAGGTTCCTCAAAGACCTTCAAACAGAACTACCATATGATCCAGGAATTCCACTCCTGGGTATCTACCCAAAGGACAGGAGAACACTCAGTCGGAAAAGTGCTTGCACAGATATTTTCATCGCAGCATTATTCACAATTGCTAAGACATGGAACCAACCCAAATGTCCACAAACAGATAAATGGATTGAAAAATTGTGGCACATATACTCCATGGAATACTATTCAGCCATAAAAAACAACAAGGCCCTAAAGTTTGATAGAAAGTAGATGAATATGGAACATATATTGCTGGGTGAGGCAAGCCAAACTATGAAAGAGAAACATTGTATGTCTCTGCTTAACATATACTGTCTGTCTGTACTCTATGGTAGAGACTAAAAGACTGGAGAACATAAAAGTATTAAAAATTGTAATGGACACTAGAGACAAATAAGAGTGTGGGAGGGGAAGAGAGTAGGAAAGGAAATTTGGGGGTAAAATGGAGAGGTACGACACTTGTGGGACACAGATAAGGTTTACTATCTGTTGACGAGGATGTGTACAATAGTTTCAACTGGGCTGGACTGAGGTGTACATCATGCTGGGTAAAGTCTCTTCACAATCTAAAGGATGTATAGCAATTTAATGTACAAATAATAAAAAATAAACAAATAAAAAGGTACTCACACTGCCTGTGGCTCCTTAAACTTCCCCACTTGCTGAATGTGGTACATGAGGTCCCCGCCGTTGACGTATTCCATGACAAAGTACAGGCGATCCTACAGAACAAGGAGTGCGGTGAGTGGACTCTACCTTCAGCAGGGTCTCCACCCTCCCCAGGCCCACCTTCGCTTTCTCAGGAGTAAAACATGGGCGGACCAGCAGATCTGCTATTTATAGCTCTTCCAGATTTTTTTCCCCAAAGACGTAATGAGTAACAAAGACAATTGCAGGTGGGTCCTGGGAAGTTTCCACAGAGGTTGTTGGTCTGCCCCCTTCTGGTTATGCACTCTCCCTATTAGAGACATGGCCTTGAGCATCCCTCCCCTTTTTCCTACACACAAAATACATTTTGAAGCTGAAGATGGTGCAGAGGATCCACATTCGCAAATTATTTCTTTCTAACTGGGGCTTTTGGGCGGCCCAGGTGCCATGAGGCTCGTGCATGAGGTCGAGGAGGCAGGCCATGCTGAGGTGCTAAGGTGCTTAAACAGATGCTCTGAAAATCCTTCTCTTGAGTTAGGTTGGGCTTATAAATTACACATGCTCAGTGCTATGGCCTGGGTGGGGAAGAGGGAGAAGCCTGATTGGGGAGGCTAATCAGATGCTCTTCTGCATCCATAATATGCCCGGATGTGTGCTTTTGATCGCCTCTGTCATCACATGCTATGCGCTGGGCCTTAAGAAAGGCATCCCTCCTAGAACCAAATAAACTTGCATATTTATGAGGACATTATGCTGAGACAGAGGTGGGAGGCTGAGGGCCTTAACAGGGAAATAACTAACAGCCCGACAAGGTAAAGCTGACCTCTGCGGTCCTCCAGGAAACATCACCATTCACAGAGGTTATTAAACATTAAAGACTTGTCCAGGGAGAACAGAACTGATGGAGCTGAGCTAATGGTCCGGAGGCTCCCACCTCTAGCCTTCCCTTACAAACTTCGATTTCATCTCTGTCTCTGTTTTGTAGCATTCCAGAGTCCTGCTAGTCACTGGGATTCGGAGATGTGGTTCTCTTCCCGAGCGGGTGGCTCTTTTCCCCCTGGTGCTCTTGGTTCAGAGTTGGGGGAGCTGTTTGGGGCAGGGAGCCGGCCACACCACTAGTGCCAGGCTGACACTCAGGGCAGTGCCTGGCTGCATGGCTTCCCCCACACATCCTGAGACTTTGCGAGGCTGCACTGCCATTTCGAAACTCTAAAATCTGAAAGCATTCGGGGACCAGCAGATGGTGTAATAGTTACGTTGCTGGACTCCCACGTAGTTGGCCACGGTCTCAGCCCTGGACCCGGGGACTTCAAACTCATGTGGGGTGTATGTGAGTGCATGCCCAAAATCTCGAGAGGAGAATGGAAGAGAAGAGGCTGTGGTGTAGTCATCCTCTCTGGGGCGGGGTGGGGGG